GGTGTCTGTGGTTTCGTGTACAGACCTTCAGACCCCACAGCGGCAGGCCCTGCCCCTTGGAGCATAGCTTAGGGTGGGCCTCTTTAGAGTCTTCTTACGCTTCCTTCTCACCTCACAGCTGTTGGTCCTCAAGTTCCCTGAAGGGCCGGTCGGGGAGGTAGGCACCTGCTCTGTTTGTCTTGGGAAGAGGCTAGAGACAGAAAACTCATAGCAAGGCTGTTACCCCAGTGCCTTTGGCATCTGGCTAGACTAGGTCATGGTCTTTAGTCATAACCTCCCAGGTCTAGCTTCCTTTCCTGAAAAATGAGGACAAGAAACTCCTAGAGTAGTGATAGAAAAAACATAGTCCAGGGGCCAGCAGATGGCATGGTGCTTAAGAGCGCTGGACTCCCACATGGCCAACTACAGTTCAACTCCTAGACCTGGTGGCTTGCTTTCTCACTTTCTCTCTCTCTCTCCATCCCTCTCTAGTCAAGTAGAAGGAAAGAGAGAGAGAGAAAGGTACCACTCTTAAGCTAAAGTATTTATATTTTCTAATGGTTGGAAAAAATAGAAGATTTTTTTTTTTTGAGAGATTTTTGCTATAGGGTATGTGCACTCACTGGAAAGACTGAGAAAGAGAGAGAGACAGAAAGCGAGAAATCACCCCTCGGGGGGATGACTACGCCACAGTCCCTTCTCCTCCATTAACCTTGGGATTTTGGGCACGTACATACATGCGCTGGCATGAATTTTAAGCCACCAGATTCGGGACTCAAACCATGTCGACTGTGTGGGAGTCCAGCAATGTACCCATTCTGCCATCTGCTGGTCCCAGAAGAATAATATTTTATGATATTTGAAAAGTATATGGAATTCAAATTTCAGTGTCCATGAATAAATTTTGTTTTTTACCAATGAAGCTTTATTGAAACAGCCATGCCCATTCATGTGTTCTTTGTGGCTGTCTTCATGCTCCAGAGACTACTATGGCCTCAAAGCCAAAGTATTTTCTTTTACAGAGGTTTGCTGAACACTACCCTAGACAATCTGTCTCACAAGGTCCTTACCAACTCCAGCATTTGTGGTGCCCCAAATTTGATCCTGTTTCAGTGGTTACCCGCCCAGGAGTCAGGGTGAGCACGTTCTCTGTCTCGCCTCCTCATGCTCACTAAAAGACTGGCTTGCTACAGGGTTATCGGAAAGCTCTGGCTCAAGGAAAGGTGGAAGCCTCTGATTTGGGTCCAGAGAAAGCTGGAATGACAGCTCCTTCCCCCACAATTGAGCTGTAGGATTTGGGAAAGGTCCAGCTACTTTTATAGATATGTTGGAGCTGGTCAAAGTGTGCTGAAGGTTGTCATCAAAAGGCCACTTTGGGGGCTGGCCCTGTTGCCTCTTGGTTAAGGTAGTCAGATTCCACATAGCCAACCACAGTTCGAATCTCAGCCCTGGTGACTTAGAAAGCACATATGCATGTGTGCACCAAATCCTGACAGGAGAGAGAAATGAAGAGGTTGTGGTGTGGCCACATGCACTACAGGGTACTTTTGCTCTCTGGTGAGTGCACACAGCCTCTGGCAGTTAAATAAAAAAAAAAGAATTATTTTATTTAACTTTATTATTATTATTTTCCAGTTTGATCAGACAGAGAGAGGGAGAAAATGAGAAAGCAAGCCACTAGGTCCAGGACCTGAACTGTGGCCAGCCATGTGGGAGTCCAGCACCTTCAACCACCAATGTCAGAGCAGCTGAGAACTGCTCATTGCAGGCCTGATGTTCTTCCAGCTCGGCGTCCAGTCAGCAGGTGTACCAGGGGTTTTGTGATCTGGATGGAAAGTGATGGGGTTGTAGAGAGTCACTGTGCAGTCACTGTGCAGATTCCAAGGGAGGCTCTGCCAGTCCAGGGTCACCGACTCGTCCATACTGTGGGCACAGCCTGATCTGACCCAGGAAGAGCAGCTCTTTGGCTCCTCCCCCTTTGTTTTGGGGTACCAGGGAGTGGGGAGCAGAGGAGTAAAGAGGAAGTGGCCATCAACCAGTGCCTGCCATCCTGTTTGCCAAGTCTTTCATGAGTCCTTCTCATTGTTCTTGAATGAAGCCAGGAAGAATGTGCCCTCTGTCCTCTCGTTTCAATTTGACATAGCTTGAAATGAAATAGAGAAATAAGGGAAAAGCTTCTTGAAGAGTTCATTTGACTTGGTAGATTAAAACCTGGAGTCTTGGGATCAGCAGATGGTGTAGTGATTATGTTGCTGGACTCTCACATGCCGAATGCAGTTTGACTCCCGGACAAGGAGGCTTGAAACTCATACCTGGGAGCATGTGCATGCTTGCCAAAAATCTTGAGAATGAAGGAGAAGGATTGTGGTGTGGCCATCCTCCCTGGAAAGTGATTTCTTGCTTTCTATCTCTCTGTCTCTGTCTCTCCAGTGAGCTCATGCATCCTATAGCAAAAGCCTCTCTAAAGCAAAACCAAACAAACAAAACTAGAGTCCTTTCTTTTTCTAGGTATGGATGTTCTTTTATTGTATGGTTTATTTCGTTTATGAAAGAGGGACACAGAGAGAGAGAGACAGGAGGGTTTTCATGCTGTGATTTAACCCCCAACCTCTGCCAGGCTGGGTCATGAGTGTGCACTCATGCCTCACGTGCACAGAGAGACCTCAGGTTGTGAACCCAGGACCTTCCCATATTTCTTCAGCATCGTGGAGTGTCACCTTACTGCTGTGCCACCACTGCTGGCCCCAGATTATTTCCTCAGTGGTGTTTCATGTTATCTACGGTTCCCCCTCCCGCAGACCCAGTTATTCTGAGTCCAACGAGAGACGGGTCCCCATGCCGGCTTATGCCTCTCCTCTCACTGGCCATGTTCTTGGAAACACTGTTTATCGTCACCCACCTGCATTCCCTTGGCTGTAAATCCAGGTGAGAGCTCTCCCTGGTGTGGGCTCTTTGCTGCATGGTAGGGCTCAGCCTGAAAGCTGTTCTCTGTGTCTACCACAGAGCTTGTATGTGCCTTCCTGGTGTGGGGGTAGAGCATAAACAAGCTATTTGGGACAAAGGCTATTGCATCACCTGCCCTTTGCTCCTAGGAGCGACCGGGAATGGTGTGGAGAGCTCAGCACAGCAACTGGTAAAACCTGGGCTCCAGCCTTCACGTGAGGCCTCCGTTGAAGGGCTATTCTCATCCAGTGTTTCCACCTGGTCTGCTCATCAGAGCCACCTGTGGGGGGGTGAGGCTCCTCCCACTCTAGCTTAATTGCTCCAAATTGGGGCCCAGGCATCTTCTTTGTTTTGTTCAGTTTCCTGGGTGACATTAGCTACTGAGCTAGTCTAATCCCCTCAGCTACAGGTGGAGAAACAGATCCTCTGGGCCCAAGGATTCACTCAAGTTCGCAGAGCACCCTGGGGCAGAGCTGGGTGAGGCACTTGGCTGTGGGTCTCAGAGCTGCTTGCTGCTCCTGGATGACCTGACAGTTTTGTCCTGTACTGTCCGACAAGAGAGGACCAAAGTATTTTCTGCTCAACACAGATTCCATCTGTCTCGTATTTTTGCCTCCTGCAAAACAGAGGATTTGTAGGTTTTCTGATGAGCCGGAAATGTCATCCGGCTGCAGGAAGCCTGCTGAAGCTTGCCTTTAATTGCCTTGTGGCTCTTTCATCCTGTCCCGAGAGCTTGGATGTTGCGTCTTTCCCAAGTTTTCCTTTTAACATAAGCTCCGGGATCATCGATCATCAGAATCTTGTCTTATCCTGTGTGTCTGTGTGCGTCAGTTTGTGTAGTGGTTTCCACAGTTGACAGTATTTCCTCCCCTGTGGTTTTTGTGGTGGCTGCTTTTAATCAGCATTGAACTCTTCAAAAAAAATTTTTTCACTTTTACATCCTGGGACGAACAGGGTGGAAAGCATCTTAGATCTACAGGTTTAGACTTAAGATTGGAGACAGTCTCAGGGTGTCTCCGGTTCTGACTGAGTAGGAAATGGGTTCACAAAGAGGTGGGAACATCCTTCCCCCAGGTCTTGAGGTTGCTAAGCTTTGGGAACTGTGGTTGGCGTGACCTAGACCTCCCACTGCTGCACCTAGGGCAGGCATTGCTAATGGATCCCAGGACTCATTCTTGTGGACATACCCTGGTCTGAGGCCCACGCCTGTTCTTCAGGTAGCCACAATGGAAAGGGAGAGCACAGCAGTCTGCCTGGCCTGTTTCAAACTCTGCTGCCCGACCGGCTGTGATAGCCTCCCCCAGGTAGGAGAGGCTATGGAGAAGGACACAAGAACTGGCCCCGTCACTGCTTCCTCAGCTGAGCACCTGGCATTATAATGAAAAGTGTCATTTGTCCAGCACACCAAATGAGCTGTGGCTCCTGGTGTTTTACTGTACCTGGCAAGGTGCAGACGAGGCCGCAGACCCAGGGAGTCAGGTGGTCTCATTTCAGGCAGCTCAGGTCCAGGTGGGGTGGGGCCGGTCGTCTTTGGCAGCCTCAGCCCATCCAGACCCATGTCTCTGCCATCCCACAGGTGATCAACGTCGACGGGACAAAGAGGCGCACCCTCTTGGAGGACAAGCTGCCGCACATTTTTGGGTTCACATTGCTAGGGGACTTCATCTATTGGACTGACTGGCAGCGGCGCAGCATCGAGCGAGTGCACAAGGTCAAGGCCAGCCGGGATGTCATCATCGACCAGCTGCCTGACCTCATGGGCCTCAAAGCAGTGAACGTGGCCAAGGTTGTCGGTGAGTCAGGGGAGCCCCGAGCCATGGCTCAGCCATGCCAGCTGGCACAGGGGAGAGACAACAGGTCCAAGCCTGGGGCTTAAGTGTCCAGCTGGGGTGCCCCACTCTATGATGGGCAGTGAGGGAAATGGACAGTGGTCTGGTAAAAGACTTATGCGAGTCAGGTAGTGTGTAGACCAGGGACGTTGACTTGGTCACGGTTATGGACTAGGAGTGTTGTCAGTACAGTAGTGGCTAACATTGTTGAGTGTCAGACCCTGGCAAAGATCTTCTGTGCCCAAAGCATCCCTTTGTACTGATTACAATGACTGCCTCATTTGCATCGGGGAGAAGGAGGCAGAACCTGCCTTGACCCCATTGCTGGGCCGGGTTGTGACTGTGTTCTGCTGTAGCCAGGCTCCAACCCTCAAACATACACCTTTCACCTGAAAGCCAGGATCTGTAAGTAGTCTATTTAGAAAGTCTTTGTTTGACATGATAATTTTTCTCTTTGTGAAGCAGATTCCAAATGCAGGTCAGCATGTTATACTGAAGTAGGGAGCATCAGGAGTGGCTGCAGGAGGGCTGCAGTGGAGCTGTGGGGAACAGGCCCAGTGCAGGTGCCCTGGTGCCTAGTGCTGCGCCTGCTTGTTGGAGGTGCTCAGGACGTCTTTGCTGGATGAGTGAATGAATGAACAGAGAAGACACGGTGCTTGCTGTCAGGTTGCTTAAAGTCTAGTGAGATGCCTCTGAGTCAGCTCCCTGGCCAGTTGGATGGCTGTGACTGTGATAACACTGGGATGCCTGCTTTAAAATACAAGGGAGGGACCAGCAGTTAGCGTAATGGCTATGTCACTGGACTCCTATGTAGTCAACCGCAGTTCAAGTCCCAGACTCGGTGGCTTAAACTCATGCTGGGTGTGCATGCCCAAGATCTCAAGAGGAGAAGGGATTGTGGCGTGGCCATCCCTCCTGGGGGGGGGTGGGGTGCTTTCTCACCTTCTGTCTCTCTGTCTCTTTCTGGCGAGTGCACGTGCCCTATAGCAAAAACTTCTCAAAAATAAATAAATTAAAAAATAATAAAATATAAGGGAGTGGGCCATGTGGTGGTGTAGTAGTAACACAACTCGACCCACGTGGGGAAAGTCCTGGGTTTGTATCTCAGGACCTCCCTGAGCACGCTCGATGTGTGCATGCATGCCTGTGATCCAGGCCGCCTGAGATTGAGAGTTGATTATGTCATGTGTTCCCTTTTGAATGTGTGTGTGTGTGTGTGTGGGGGGGGGTCTTTCTCTGTGTCTCTTATGGAAGAAATGAACACAAAAACTTAAAAAAAAAAATACAAGGGAGATAACTGCTCTTGGAATTGAGGGAGCAGGTGGGGGCAGGGTTTAGGGTTTGCCCAACAGATGGGACAGCTGAGGAGACCTGGAGGTGAGGCAGCGTGAGGTGCCCTCAGAGAAGCTAGTGCTTTTGTCTCTGCAATTGGGCCTTTATTGCAACTGGTACTCGCGACACAGAGATGAAGGGATCGACAAATTTAGTTTTATAAGCTATCTTTAAAATCGCATGCATTATCCACTGTGGAAGGTGAGGACCATCAGTGAGGAATTGTTCAAAAAATAAAAAGTCCCAGAGATAAGAAAAAAGGAGGTGTCCATGGGGCTGTGATTTAAAGTTTAGAAATTGGGCTCTTCTCTCATGTCTTCATGTCATGATTTACTAAAGGAGCTGGGGAAAGGATTCTTTTCTTAGCTTAATTTTTTTTTTTTTTTTTTAGAGAGGTTTTTCCTATATAATGCATGTACTCACTGGAGAAATGGGCAGAGACAGAGACAGAAAGCGAGAAATCACCTCCCAAGGTGGACAGCCATGCCTCAATCCTTTCTTCTCCATTCTCCTCTCAGGATTTTGGGCATGTGGGCACAGATGCTCCGCATGAGTTTCAAGCACCGTGGTTGGCCATGTGGGAGTCCAGTGATGGAACCATTACGCTACCTGCCGGTCCTGTTAGCTTAAATATTTAACACAAAATTAAGGCCAGTTTTCAAAAAAAAAATTTATTTAACTTTATTTCTTATTACTATTTTTTAATTTGACAAGAAAAGGAGAGAGAGAAAGAGACCAAGCCACCAGATATGAGACTTGAACCATGCTCAGCCATGTAGGTGTCTAGCACCTTATCCACTATGCCACCTGCCAGCCCTAAAGCCAATTTTAACAGCATGAGATTAATCGGCTGACCAAGAAATAAGTGAACATTTGCTTTAAAAAAAAAAAAAAAAAAAAGTGGTGCCTTTGTCCCAGGCGAACCTGAGTTTTCGAGGTTGCTGAGAGTAAAGGTGAATTGAAGGAAGCATTCTTGAAGAATCTCGGGAGCCAGTTCCATTAGCAGGCCAGGAGGCCAGGCCCTGGGAGGGACAGCTTGCTCAGTCACTGCCTTGAGACATTTTGCATCTTTCTTGGGCTGGAACTCAGTCCAAGAGACTGGACTACCTGCGTTCAAGTTCTTGCTGAGCTGCTCTGTAACTTCCTGCCCAGGTTACCTTTAAAAAAAAAATTACTTATTTACTTTTATTTATTATTAATACATTAAAAAATTTTGATCATGTATAGATATAGCTATAGATATGGAGAGATTGAGAAAGAGAGAGAAAGCAAGCCACCAGGTCCAGGACTTGAACTGCGGTCAGTCAGTGGGAGTCCAGTGCCTTAACCATAACACTACCTATCGGCTGCTGCCCAGGTTCCCCTTAACAGCCTCTCTTTGCTTTAGTTTCATCAACTGAAAAATGGGGATGAGTAGCTCCTATCTTCTAGGTCAATGGGGTGAGTTGAAACAGGTGATGCCCTGGGACCAGTGCCTGCTAGATGGCAGGGACCAGTCTGAGCTCCTGTTGGTGTTATTGCTGCCACTTGGCTATGCCAAGAGACACCTTCAGTTGCCATAGTCAAAAGCCAGCTCTACTGCAGTGTAGTTGCACCCCTGCCTTTGAGCTGCTGATGTTCAGAGCCTGTGTGCTTCCTTCCAGGAACCAACCCGTGTGCAGATAGGAATGGGGGTTGCAGCCATCTATGCTTCTTCACACCCCGTGCAACCAGGTGCGGCTGTCCCATTGGCCTGGAGCTGCTGAGTGACATGAAGACCTGCATTGTGCCTGAGGCCTTCCTCGTGTTCACCAGCAGAGCCGCCATCCACAGGATCTCCTTGGAGACCAACAACAATGATGTGGCCATCCCACTCACGGGCGTCAAGGAGGCCTCAGCACTGGACTTTGATGTGTCCAACAACCACATCTATTGGACAGATGTCAGCCTGAAGGTACTGTGTGCTAGATTGCATAGACAGATGGCTTTTATGGGAAAGCCTGGTCTGTGATCTTATTGCCTCAAAGGCTGAAAAAAAAACTTTTTAAAAGAACTATATTTATTTTTCTTTATTCAAGGTAGAGTGCAGGTTTATTTGAGAGAGAGACAGAGAGAGAATCCTTCATAGGCTCTGGTCATGCTGTGGTCCCCTTCCTCTAGTCCTCCAGCCCATTGGCTCCAGGGCACTTGTGTGTGCCTTGCATGTTTCAGGCTGACCAGGCTGGGGATGGAAATTGCAGTCACCATGTTGGATCTGGCTTCTCTCAACATTACTACTGTGTCATGGGGCTGGTCCCAAACTGTAATATTTATTATAACTCAATTCAAGCTAATAAAATGTTAGCATATCCACTTTAATAACTGTATGGTACCAGCCGCATAACCTAGGGATTAAGGGAGTTGGATCCCACATGGCCATCTGTGGTTCAAATCTTGGCCCCAATGACTTGAAAGGCATGCTTGCTGGGTATGTATGCATGCATGTCTAAGGTCCAGACAGGATGGAGAAATAGCGAAAGGCTTGCAGTGTGACCACACCCCATCGAAAGGATAGTTTCTCCCTTTCTCTCTTATTGTCACTGGCACGTGCACACACTCCCTGGCAACTAAATATGTACACACACACACATATACACACATGCATACACATGTGTGTATATGTATGAGCAGGATGGTAGCGTAGCAATAAATGCAGTGTTCTGTGTGAATGACTCACGTGGGAGGGTTCTGGATTAGCATCCAGAGACCTCCTTGAATGTGCCAAGTACACATACCCAAGATTCAGGGCTAGCTGAAGCCAGGGATGGATCACATGTGGAGGCACTACTGGGGGTATGTCTCCCTGCATTTCTCTTATTCATGGAAGAAAGGAAGAAAGAACCTTTAAAAAAATAAAATAAACATATATAATTGGTTATGATGAGTAAACCCAGTAGACACACACGTGGTGTTGTATGGATGTGAAACATTTGTTATAAATTGGCATTAACTTCAGACTCCCCTTCCCCCTCATCAGTGCCCATTTGCATGGTAAACCCTCTATTCACAGTGCAAATGTAAACATCCTGGTTAAACATGGGGCAAGACCTTTGCAGCTTCTTTTTTTTTTTGAGAGGTTTTTGCTATAGGGCGCGTGTGCTCGCCAGACAGAGAGAGACAAAGATACAGAAAGTGAGAAATCACCCCCCAGGGGGGATGCCCACGCCGCAGTCCCTTCTCCTCCATTCTCCTCGCGGGATCTTGGGCACTCACGCACACGTGCCCGGCGTGAGTTTTAAGCCACTGGGTCCGGGACGCAAACCGTGGTCTACTACGTGGGAGTCCAGTGACATAGCCATTACGCTAACTGCTGGTTCCCGACCTTTGCAGCTTCTAAAGCAGGGTTTGGCAAACTGGTCCATGGGCTAGCCTTCTGATACTATGAAGTCGTACTGGAATATAGCAGTGCTCCTTTGTTTACATGTTGTTCATGATCGCTTTTGTGCTTCTGAGTTGAGGAGTTGTAACAGATCTGAACGGCCTGTGAAGCCTAAAATACCGACTATCTGCCCCGTTTACCAAAGTTCGCTGATCCCCATTCCAAAGCATTGGACAACTAAAACAGTTGATCAACTGTCTTTTGAGTTGTACCTTTTGTATTACAGATCTCTTAAAGATTTTCTTGATTTTAAAAGTCACAGGCCAGCAGGTGGCATAGTGGTTAAGGTGCTGGATCCCATATGGTCGACACCACAGTTTGAGTCCTGGACCCAGTGGTCTGAAAAAAATGCTCTGTGTGTGTGTGTGTGTGTGTGTGCGTGTGTGTGTGCATGTGTGCATGCCTCAAATCCAGAGAGGAGAGAGGAGAAAGGATTGTGTCCTGGCGAACCCCCGGGGGGTGATTTCTCACTTTCCCTCACTCTTTGTCTTTTCCTGGTGAGTGCCCTCTCCCTTTAACAACAACAAAAATCTGAAGAAAATAAAAGAAAGAAAATCCCAAGGATTTGTGTGGTTTTGTTTTGTTTTGAGAAAAAGGGAGATAGAAAAGTATAAGGAAGAAAATTAAAATCATCCACTACCTCACCAGCTAAGAGTCAACCAGGCTGACACCTCAGTGTATTTCCTTTGAGTCTTTTTTCCTGTGATAATATTTCTTATAATCATGATCATATGCTACATATGATTTACACTTAACATTATAACAGATATTTCATTAAAATTTATAAACTTTTAAAAATAATTTATTTATTTCATTCCATTTGTTAGTACTTTTAACTTGATCAGAGACAGAGAAAGGGAAAGTGAGAAAGCAAGCAACCAGGTCTGATACTTGAACTGCAGTTAGTCATGTGGGATTCCAGTACCTTAACCACTATACTACCTGCTGGCCCCTTCTAAACTTTCTTTTTGTCTTATAAGGGGCATGTGTGCTTGCCAGAGAGAGACAGAGAGAGGGAAAGGAGAAAGCACCCCCATTGGCAGATGGTCACATCATAATCCCCTTTGCTCCATCTGTCCCTCCTTTTAGGATTTTGGGCATGTTTGCACCCATGCCTGGTGTGTTTCTCAAAAGCTGCTTGATATAGGGTCTGGCTGCCTCAAACAACAGACCAAGTTGCCAGCTCAACTCTTTTTCTTTAAGTTTCTGTCATAAGAAAGAAAGAAAGAAAGACAGGCAACCTCAACAGAGAATCACGCTGTAATCCCCTCTCCAGCCTTCCCAACCAGTCAGGGTCACAGGGGCACTCGCCACTGTGTATTGGTCAGCTAGGAACCGAACCCATGATCTTCCACATAGACTCAGCCGCTCATTGCTGCTCTACCACCACCACTGGCCCATACTTTACATGCTCTGAATATACTTTTTTAAAAAATAAAGTATTTGTAAAATATTGGGTCATCGGAAATGACATTTTTCATGCAAAAATGCATTATGAGTTTTCTGATGATCCAATATTTCACCCTGCAGATATTCCTTATACATTTATTTATTTTTAGTTTTGCTATTGAGCATGTGTGTTTGCCAGAGAGAGAGAGGAAAGAGAGAGAAATCACCCCCAGAGAGATGGCCATGCCACAGTACCCTCTCCTCTATTATCCTCTTGGGATTTGGGGCACCCATGTACATGTGCCTCGCATGATTCCCAAGCTGTCAGATCCAGGACTTGAACCACACAGGCAGCCATTTGGGATTCAGCCACCTTAACTTATTCGTCACCTGTTGGCCCTTCCCTATTATACTTAACCTTTCACTTTTCGTAAGTGTTCAGGTACATCAGCTTTTTCTCAACTCTAAACAATGCCATAGTAATAAACATCTCTGCATGTGAAGCCTTTTTGTATTTTGAATTGTTCCTTGTTTGTGTTTTTCTTAGTGTGGGATAAAGTGTCATGAGGAAAATTACTAGTTGAAAGGAAACAAGTGTTTTTAAGGCTCATAACACACACACACACACACACACACACACACACACAGACTTC